GGTCCAGACCTAAGGACGAAGTTCATGAAGCGTAGCCATCCGTTTGATCCATAATATCGTCCAGTGGCATGCTCTCACCTCTCTCCCCATCTTCTGCCTCCACCTCAAACTCATCAGGCTCTGCATCAAAGAGCAGGTTTTGTGATTTTTCACCCGTTGTCGTTCATTTAACTTGTGAACGTCGGCCACTCGTTGAAGCGTCTCTCGTTGCCTTAATACAAATGCTTTTATTGTTTTGCTCTGGATTAAAATTTGCACGTGAGATGGCTATTTGTTCTCTTAAATTGACATTAGTTGTCAGGTATTCTTCTACAGTTCTGATCAATCGGTGCGCATTATGAGAACGTCGACCAATATTTCTTGCTCTTTGGCGAAGACTTGAAATTTTTTGTAGAAGTAAAATACTATGAAAAGTACACAACAACCAATGTAAGTAACTTCTTAAAGTGAAAATTTTCGGCACTAAACAAATTTATTGTACTTATAATTTTATTTCTTAATTTTGTATATTTACAATTTCCGGCACAGTAAGTAATATCCGTAAGAAAAAACTAATGAATGTACCATAAGGTAGCAAATATGTTTAGCTGAGCTGTCCTATATAAATCTTAATTTAGAAATGTATCGTATAGAGTAGCATAGCAGTATGAATGTGTAGACACTACAAATGTAAACCATACTCACGAAGTCTACAGCCTCCGTAGTTTAGACTTAGACTTACGCCAACTTAGACTCTGATCTTAGCGTCATTTACACGGCATAACTGAAACTAAAATACACTTTTGTAAATTTAACAGGAAGCAGCGCAGTCTGCTGCATTCTATTTAAAACGTTCTAACATCAAAAAGAATTTATAAATAAATAGATTCATTGGTAAATATTTTCTAGTTGACCGAATCTCGAACCCGCTTGAATGCACACCAAAGAAATTCACGAATAAACGAAGTCCAATAACAAACACACCTGCAGAAGATTTATATAAGTATATATAAGTATTAGAAGAATATAAACTCAAAGATCAGAACGATTACAAGAAATACCTTTGTGCAAAAATTTAGAGCACACTTACCCCATATGTAAATACATATTACATATCACCAGCACACCCATGCTCATACATATATTAATAGAGTTATTCTCTTGACCTTGCACGGTACACTGTTCGCAAAACATTGCACTGAAATATGCAAGAGTACCTCCGAAAAAAGAGGAGCAGTAAATATTTATTTGAATTATTAATTGTAAAAATAAGTACTCTTACAGGCCTATTCTATCGAGATAATAAAATTTTCTTTGGCATTAAAACTTACCATTTAGTCACTTTTGTTTTGCAATTCAAATTCTGAGTTCACTGTCACCCACGAAATAGGAAGTAACAAAAAATCTGCTGCTTGATTTTGTGTTGTTGATTTGAAAAAAAAAAACGCGTAGGCATATTATAGGTTTGGAGATCATTGAAGATGAAGAAAAAATGCAAAAAGGCATATGTTAAGAAGTTTGCGAGAGAAAAAATTGGAAGATAGCGTTTCCTTCGTCAATGTAACCTGTACCCTCAAATACCAAATTCAATTTCGGGTTTTAAAAAAAAGTAACAAAACGAAAAGGCCTGTTACAGGCATTTACTGGCCACACTTCATTGCGTAGTATGTTTTGCAGCTATTGCACAAATTTTTTAGCATGTGTTTTGTTGTTGTGGTATTGCACGGATTAAATATTTATGAAATATGTATGGATAATAAGATAATAATAGTCGCTAAGCAAACTAGCCATGAATTCGCTTAAACACGTAGTTTTTAATATATATGTATATATTATATATAACTGGCGCTTTGTAACCGCTAAAGCGATTTTTCCGCCGAGCTCCTCTTCAATGTGTGCATTTGCGTCTTGATATTTTTCCAGCAAATGGACCTACAGTTTATACAAAGCCGCCTCCGAACGGATGATGGTCTTTCTACGAGGAGTCTTTATTTCATTTCTGAAATACACTCGGAGGGATGGAATTCAACTTACAACTTCAATAGCACTTCAATAGAAAATATATATATTTTTCTTTGAAATTGTTAAACAATTTTAATATGGCTTTGTTTTTGAATGCCCCTTTTATTAAATCAATTCGAATAAATGAATTATAAGTTTTGATATTCATAAAGATAGTAAATTTTTAATTAATTTATTCCCACTGTTGATTTCACCAATCCTAATGTAGCAGCAACTGGACTATAGAAAATTACAAAAAAAGTGGTTCACAAGTACCTTTTTTTAACCAAATAAAGGATTAAAGTACTATACCAACCACATAGAACCACAATAAACACAATTAAACCATTTTATAATATTTACACTGTTGCAGCAATAAAATTAATTTATTAAATAGCTGTATCACTGTGTTAAACAGTCGTAAATGAGCTCTACCACAATATCATCCATTCAGATAATCGTAAGTTTTTATGTAGAAAACAGGTATTTAATTGTTATGAAACTAAAAACAAAGGTTTGCTACACGTTCATTTATGGACGTATGATTAAATAAATTGGATGCAATTATTAAACAAAGAGTTTTTAATGAAGTCAAGTCAAATAATTATTTATTTATTGATTTATTAAGTAATATATTACAAAATAAAAAACTTTTTGAAAGTATATAAAAAGAGTACAAGCAACAAAGGCCATCGAAGACAAATAATAAAGTAACTAACTCTACCAGAGGAATATATATATTAGTTGTAGTATTTAAGATAAAAATTAATTGAAACACAATTGTCGCTCCAAATGAATCTTACATCATCGAATCGAAAAGTGATCACGGACTTTACCTAAATAAGACTATATAATGCAAAGCAGAAAAATTCTTACTTAAGGGTTTTCGTTGGTAATTTATTGACGCCGTTGTCGTTTGCTATTGTGAAATATTTTGAACATTTGCGATCAGCTAAATAGGTCTTTCAACGCTACGAATTTAAATTAATCAAAAAGATGTTGCTTGTACATTCAAAAAAATCCAAAGTGAATATGAAAAAAAAAATAGATCAATGACAAAAATATTAAAAATACTGAAAATCTTTCAGGCACTCGAACAACTTAGTTTTATAATAATCCAAGAGTTACAGTAAACTAAAATGTATAAAATTATTTTAATACTAAGCTGCAAGTTTCTAATATTCCAATGGCATTTTAAAGCCGAAAATGTCCATATTAAAGATATATGTGCGTTCACGGTTGTTATTGCGTATGCATATGCTAAATTAAAAAATAAAAATACCAACTTTCATTAATCGAAACGTGAAACAATAACATATTTGTATACCAAAGGATAAGCATTGTGAAATCGTGTAAGCTTCGAATAAATACTCGTACACAAAGATATTATCAGTACCAACAGATTGGTTCCAGTATTAGGAGAATGGGCATGCATAACTAACGCTTTTCAAAGTATTATTTATCAAACGAAAATACCGATCGCATTTTACTGTGAATAATTAACTGAGGTATGTATTTGTTTCGTTTCAGTTCATACTAATAAGATTTTTATTTATTTGACAATTAGAAAATTCATAGCACGTTCAATGTTTTTTGACCTCGCTCTATGCAGTTCAATTAACTCTTGATCATACTTACAGCCAGACAGCAACTTCAGCAGATAACTAGTGCTATACATTTTCCATTATTTTTTGTCTGCTAGTTTTACGGTAAGAAGTATTGAACAGTTAAATGAAGTGTGTTCGGCTCCCACTCAGTCTAGATAACATGTTCTACCAACTTCATGAATACTTTGCTTTTTTTTACTTATTGTTCTCCAATAAAGACTGTTTGGGATAAATATTGAGAGCTAAAGAGGGAAGCAAGACGTATTGCTGAAAAAAAAGGAAAAGACCTAAATGCGTGAGTTTGAAAAGCTTGCGAAGCTGGCTCCAAAAATCTACGAAAAGATACGGCGAATTACGGAAGGTTTTAAGACCGAAGCAAACTCTTGTAGGACCCAGGGGTCTGATCTAATGCCAGATGCCCAGAGTCCACTGAATTTATGGAAGGAACATTTCTTCAGCCTGCTTAGTCTCAGTCAAAATGAAACACTCGGAGAAGGTGAGCTCAACTATTAAGAAGTTCGAATAGCGAACACACAGTTAAAAAATAAACAAAGCGGCTGGAGCTGACGACCTACCGGTAGAACTATTCAAACATGGTGCTGAAGAGCTGACAGGGTGCATGCATCATTTTGTTTGCAAAATATGGTCCGATGAAAGCATGTCCATTATTTGAAACGTAAGTTTACTCTGTCCGATCCACAAAAACGGTAATCCCAAAGTCTGCGACAACTACTACTAACAATATCAGCCTTGATATCCCACGCAGAATCACTCTTGCCAATAGGTGGTACTTTGAGTGAGCAGGCAATTGAAAAGTAAAGTCATCTCTCGGCGAACCGAAACCAATCTCTGCAAGTTGCTTGTCAAATTCGTCCTACTACGTGGCGCAGAGGCGTGGTCGCTGTCAACAGCTGTTAAGTCGACTTTGATGATATTGACATAGTTCAGGGGCAGCGTCGACGCTAGCTAAGTCATGTCGTCCAAATGGATGAAAGCACTCCAATTGATTCGACTTTAATCGCGTAAGCGATTCCAACGCTAATAAATGCATTGAGGCATTATTATAGTTTGTAAAAGTGTTTTTGCGGCCTGATCTATTTGTTACCCCTAGCTTTCATTTCTGCTATATTTATTTGTTTCATAAAAAAATATTCAATTTAAATAACCCTCTTGCACACTAACTTATAACAAAAAATAATTTTTTCATAAAATTTGTCGAGAGTTAAAACCAAGTAAGGATTTAATGACTTGTTTCTGACAGTAAAGGCGATTCGAAGATAATCTGATAACATTGGAATACATGTTACCATTTAACTTTTTTGTTGCTTATAAATGTAGATATCATAGGATTTCTATCCCACGATTTTCCTGCTTCTATATTGTAACATAACAATATTCTTTTAATATTTTTAGAAGTATGGCTAACCTAATTCTATCTGTCTGCCTCTCCATATTGGGTATCATAATTGCCATTGCCTTATTTCTCGCCGGAGGTTATCTTTGGTGGCGTCACAAACGTTCTCAGCTGCAATTTATTGAACCGAATGATGACGAGGATTCCAGTAACTATAGCCTAAGGTAAATCGGTTTGTATCCAAGTAAAGTTGTGTACGTGTTTTTTATACGCACAAAACAAAGTTATTTTAGCACTAGTGAATATCTCTTCCTATGTTTTGTGAGTAGAAATGATTTTGCAATGATGAAGACAGACAATAATTACTTCGTGTGAAATAAGAAGTATAAATAGAATTGGTAGGGGACAGGAACGAACCAAGTCGAAATTAATAATTATTATATTTTATACATTCAAAATAAAAGTTACGTATCATATTATGCAAGTAGATATCTTAGTGAACTGATTTCAACCTTTATTTGATAATAAGTTATACAAGAGTTTCTGTGTAAATTCCAGACGATTAATATTTGCTTATGAGTAGATCGAATTAAAGTGTAATTTTTTTTATATTACTATTTAATTAATATATTTGTGTAATATGAAATGTATTCCTAAACTTATTTTAGGCTTCCGCAATCCTCTACTCAGGAGATTCAAGACACATCCATTCCTCCTGCGAAAGGGCCACCGCAACAGCAAGCCACAACGCAATCTTTAGCAACACCATTACAAAATAATATAAACCGCAAGCTGAATGGTTTTCTAAATTTAAAGACTCCATTGATAGGGTAAGTAAATCAATTGAGTTTCAAATGCTATAATTTAATCAATGAAAAATCTGAGTCTAATAGGCCATATATACAATATGCATATAAATATAGGTAAAGCGCTGGAAGCACCAGCTGCGACCAGGCGTAGGTCTTTTAAGAAATGACTCGCTATTTAAATGTGTGCTATATCTAAGCATACTCCACGAAAAAAAAGTGATGCACAACTCGACGTCTGATCTGCGGCACTGAGCACGTCATTGAGTGAGCAAGGTGAGGGTTAATTTGACTCCTTCCATCAATGACCTTTATTTTGACTTTCTGATTTGATTATTTCGTTCTGAGCCAGGGGTATTGGAAATCTGTTATCTGAGTATTATTGCCTCCGTTCTGTTTAAACCCTGGGACGCCTTTCCGATCGCATCGTAAGTGAGCTGATGGTGTAAATACAGTTGAGAATACTCCTGTTGTGTTTTATCTTCGTCTTAAAGTACCCTTCTGCCAAAAAAAAAGGGGCAATGTTGGAGTAAACCGTGTCTGATGGCACTTTGGCTGACGAGCTCGGGGAGGTCACACGCAGACAAACGTAAGACCGTAAGGAAAAACGGGAAACCCCGTACAAAAGACAAAGCCACGCTCTACAGAAAAACCGAGCTTTTCACGGGTAGCGATGCCACGCTTGCAGAGCCAGAGAGCATGTTAAATGCTATGAAGCCTAGAATACAACATCTGGCAAATACTTACTAAAATATATCATATTTTATAACTACTAATATCCACATACAATAGATAATAAATTAATAACAATAATATACTAATTGTAATTTACTAATTGTACCACTTACGTCGAGCCATGTGCCAGAATTTCCTTCGTAGAAATGTATTTCAACTTTACAGATCTAATCTCCAGCTTCTCTCGTATAAATTTATATCAAAATGCTTTAGTAGATGACAATGCAATCGTTCGCAAACTGAAATAATAACTCGTTCTAAATACCCTGCGTAGACTTTTCATCATTGGATAACATCAAAACGTCGTCAACGTATATAGCCTCCGTACAGCGTACTAAATTCAGTAGCACAATAAAAAAATTTATGTAGAAAGATAAGTTTACTTGTAATGTTTACAATATAAATGAATTTGATTGTATCACATTGGAATTATGTAGTATTAAAATAAAAGAAATATGAATATACGTATCGGCAGTTGCGCTTAACTTAAATGATTTTATACGGTCATATATAAGCTGGAGTATATTTTGTTGCTGAATGAACGTGTCCGTTATTAGCCTTTGAGCTTTCTATGGCTCCGACGCACAGTGGTCCGCAATCCCAAATTCTTGGCCAAAACCACAAAAGTGAATGGATTTTTGTCAAATTTTCAGATTTATAGTTTTTTGAGTCGCTGATTACGAAAATGACAAATAAAATTTAAAGTTCAAAATGGCGGACGAAAAATGGCGGAAATTTTTCGCAAAAAATCGTGCGTTTGTGCTGTAATTCATATTATAAGTGTTTTTTGGGTCGCTGATTACGAAAATGACAAAGGAAATTGGCGGGAAAGGACGGGCATTTAGAAAATTTTTATTTCTTGTTTTTTGACGACTTATTAGCGTATTCATCAACAAAAAAAGACATTGTTTCGCTACTGTTTCAAAGTAGATACATTAAAGAAATATGCTAATCGCTATCACATTCATCTGTAACATTGTCACTGCTATCTCCCACGCTATCATCGCTATCGTCACCCTTTTCAAATGCTAAAAGTTGAAGCGCTTCACGAGACAAATTTTTGCCTTTATTTTGGCCGAGATTTTCTCATACTGGAGATAAGGGGATCTGAAGAAGCGAGGAGTCGCATAAAAATATCCTGAATGGTCTTGACTCTGGAACATTTTCGCGAAAAACCCAATCGATAGTTTCTGACATCCTAATTCCGTGACTCCTGCGCTTCTTCTGACAATTGCCCTATTGGCATAATTGATGCCTCGATGATCTTGGGTCCATGAATTAGTACCTTGTGCACATTTTATACCAATGATATTTTGACATAAACAACTGGGCAGTCTCGTGACAGTATTTTTCGAATAATTGCACTTTCACATTAAAGCCACTCGACAAAATTTGCAAAATTATGTGGAATCTTTCATCTAGTTCAAGATCAATACCCAAAATACTAGCTGAAACAGTGGAATGTTCGAAAAAACGTCCCGCCGTGTTTCCATCATTCGAATTTCCCATTCCTGGCTTGGGATGATCAATAAGCAAATGCAATTCATCTTTAAACGCCTTTTGAATCACGGCTTTACGTTTAGCAAGCGATTGTTTCACTTCTTCACTTCGAGACTGCCATTTTTCAACTTCTTTTTTGTATCCTACATGCAAAAGACACTCAAAGAAACGTATCCAACAGTGCAAAGTAGATAAACCGTATTGGTAGTTGGAAGTGTCGACGACAAGTTCTTTCATAGCTTCAATGTCATGAAATTTTTTGAAGTAGCTTTGCACAAATAGCATCTCATCGATGATGTTGTTTCAGTAACGACATTGCAAACTTTACCGTCTATCATTGTAAAAGTGAGTTTAAAATTGACGCCTATACTTTTATTATCTTGAAAAGTATCAAATTTTGTAAGAGATGTTATTTGCTCGTCAACAAAACGCTTCTCTTCAATTGTCGATTCTTTAGTCTCGCGTTTGAATTGCAGTCGAATAGGTCTACAAAACCAGGGCGAGGAAGGGCGTGGATTTTGCCAATGTTGTTTGAATGAGTTTCTGCATTAAAATCGCTAAGTTGGAGGGGAACGAGAGAAGTCAACAAAACGTTGGAATCGGTGCTTCTTTCGACTCTGTTTGCACTCACTCTGCCCAGAACTTCCATCAAATCCCCACTTTACAACCAACAATAGGTTTTTACAAATGTCAGCATCAAGCTGATCGATAACATTATGTTTCATTTGTATAATTCTGGAACAGGTGTGATTTAAAAGGGATTGTAATGGAAATTCTGTGCAGGTTTCCGAGATATTCATATCTTGCGGGTAACAAAATTTCTTAGCTCGCAAAACATCTCGGTAAGATGGAAAATGTGACTATTGCAAGCTACTGCAGTGCTCCGTATATTTTGATATTGCGCTTCAGTTAATGTAGACTCGAGCAGTAGAGCAGGAGCAACATCTGGAGACATTTTTTTCTCTTCAGTTTTGTTCATCGAAGCTCTATATTTATCAGCTCGTGTTGGTGATTTCGTTGTGACGTCTTCGATAACTTTAGCAGCTGCCACTGCACCTTCCGAGCGAAGACTCATTCTCACAGCCAATGATAGCTCATCCGTGCCGTGTTCTTCTCGCAACTTACTCACTTTTCTGCGTTTCGATCGTTCACTAGACTCGGCAAAAGATAATCCCGGTCCTCCACCGCTGTTCCTTGACTAAGTGGTATCCAACGAGCTTTCAGTCACGTTCGGTTTTGCATCGAGAAACACGACCTGTTTACAACGTCAAGTTTTTATTTAATAATAGTTTGTATTAATACGTAAGTGAGTAATATTCATTTACCGTAACATCAATTGAATTATTCAGCCATTTTTTGTTATTCTTTAAGAAACGATCCTTCAAGCGGTGAGCAGTTCCCCATTTCGTTTTCAAATTGAAAATTCATTTTTTTAATTGCCAGTTGCGACTGTTCCTCGATATGAAACGAATCTTCTCCATTATCGAGCAATTTTAAAGGTATTATTATAGTGAGAATTTTCAATTCTTTGTCCCATTCGCCGTGGATGGGGTCAAATATTTGTTGATAAGTTCACTTGACGCCTTTCCTGTCCGATCCTATAAATGTAAATAAAAAATTATTATACAAATGTAGAAATTTTGGGGCATTATTTTTCATCTGAATAGGGTGAAATTTTATATTTTCGTCCGCCATATTGGCGACACCATTTTGAATTTTGCATTTTTGACTTTACATTTGAAATCAACGACCTCAAAAACCCCGGGGTACAAATTTCATCGAAATTGGGTAAAAATTTACATTTTGACTTCGAATTCGGATTCATCATACCAGAAAACCCCCAAGTATTTCTCAGATTTGAATTCTGAACATGCAATGCGCGGTGCGCGCCAAATTGCTCTGTCAGCTCACGCACGAATGCACCAACACTGCTTCAAAATATACGGGGGACAAATAAGGGCAAGCAATGCCAGCGGTTTCGAATTTTACATACTTTTTTACGCGTAAAACCGTTGCCACTTTTTCAGGATCTCCTGGGATCACAACTAATTCTCTACTGATGTGAAAAAATTATGAAAAAAAAACAATTCGGCTCACTGACATTTCATTGTTAATAACATCATCAAAAATTCACGTAATGGAGTTCCGCAAAAAATAATAATATTCCACGTACCTTCAGGAACATCCTCCATTTTGTTGCGAATGTTTTCACTGAAAATTGCTTTTTTATGACAATTTTTGTCAAGCGCACGAAATAGGTTAAATGCCGCGATCTCTCGCGTGGCGCGATGACGAGCAAATTTGAGCGTGTGCCCACAGCTAGGTATTTCATATACCGACAAAAACTTCTCGGATTAAGAAACTTTAATGCCATCTGTTGAAGAAAAGATGAAGCTTTATCTCTTTCGGTGACTTTCGATTTTTGAGGTTTTGGCCAAGAATTTGGGATTGCGGACCACTGTGCGACGTAGACAACTTCGCCAAGCTGTTAAGACGCTTCGTTTGACCATTACCTCTTACAACTCCTGTAATAATTACGATATGTTCAATTTGGTTTTTGGAGCATTGCTCTTTGAAGATTTTGGAAGTGAAGGCTGCACCTTTGCCTCTTATAATTTTTTCTGGACTACCGTATATATCAATCCACGTATACATGTGCCTAATGACTTCTTGTACCTCCATTGTTTTTGTTGTGAAAAGCCACGTAAATTTTGAAAATGCATCAACCATCGCGAATTTATATTAATAACATTTGAACAACGTGGATAGTATTTAGTGGAGCTTGTGCCTTGTCGATTACATGGAGCAAATCTTCTTGTTTTCTAATCCTTCTGTTGTGTGTGGAATGAAATAATCTTGCTGTATTAAGTGCATTATCTTTTGTGCTTGTGTTTTGTGACCGACGTTTTGCGTATTTGTAATAATTTCGTCTTCCATGCTTCTTGGTAATACCAAAAAGTTTTTTAACTGTCGATGTTTTAAGACCTCTCGTACAGCTTTGATATGGCCATTCCTACGTTTTGTGTAGGCGTCCTTGAAGTTCAGATGTAATCGTCATCACAGGAAAGCGACTCATGCTTCATTCGGTTACCCACTCTCTCTCTTCATAATAGTTCATTTAAACGCAGCACATTCGGTGATTAATGTAAAACTATTTCCATGCTTGATCATGCTTTTGCATAAATGTTTCCCCGAAAGCTACAGCCATATGCTTTAAGACGATCTTTTGCGAGCCTTGAGAGACTAGCGTATAAGTATTCGATTTCTCGTTTACTGGTTAGACGCTTTCTTCCACAAATCGCCCGCGAACATCCGACTAAATTGGCGATCTCTCTTCACTTACTTGCCCTGACCACTATTAATTCGCACGGCCAATGTTTTTACGCATATGAAATGTTTAGCACACAATACGAGTATATGTGAAGATAATACAGATAACACATACAAACATATATTTTTCTGAATAAATATAATATAGATACTTAATATTACGAGCAATACTTGGTAACGTCACCCTTAGCCTCTATAACACATTTTCAACGATCCTGCATTGAATTAAGCAGGTATTGGCACTGCTCTGTTGAAATAGAGTCCCATGTTTCTTGCATGCTGTTGTTGTTGTACGCTAAACAACAACAAAATTTTTTTTTTCTATCAATAGAGATCTTTCAGAAAAATATATGTTTGTATGTGTTGTCTGCATTATCTCCACATATAGTGTATGCTAAACATTGCATATGCGTAAAAACACCAACCGTGCGAATTAATAGTGGTCAGGGCAAGTAAAACTTGAATTCTAACATATCATCGTAACTAATTTCATTTTTTTAGGTATTTCGGTCAATATAAAATGTTTTTATAAGATTAGTAACTTTTCACTAACAGGCCTATTCTGTCGAGGTAACAAAATTTACCTAGGTATTAAAATTTACCATTACGTAAATTTTGTTACCATTTCGTATTCTGAGGAAGGTAACAAAAATATCTGCTGTTTGATTTTGTATTGTAAGTTTGAGAAAAAATAAACCAAAATGGGTAGGCATATTTTAGGCCCGGAATTCATTGAAGATGAAGAAAAAAGTGCAAAAGCCGTACTTCAAGAAGTTTTCGATACTAAAAAATAACCCTTTAATTTGTAAGATATCGCTTTTATTCAGCTTTTTTTGTTGTCTAGGCATATTTTCCATAATTAGGTTAAAATTTTTGTGATTTAATTAACAAATTAATAAAACTTTTTAATTTTTTTGCGCACCGTCTTCCATTTCGATGTGAATATTTTTTTTTACTCTATCAACTGGCAAGTGTAATTTTAAATGGACGAATAAAGCAGAGCTACCAAATTTTTTTTTAAACATTGTAACCAGCTCGCCAGAAAACCAAACTCAATTTCGGGTGTTAAAAAAGTAACAAAATTTACTTTACCGGGAACAATACAGAATAGGACTGTAAATGTAATTTACACTTTGACTTTCAAGTTTTAAATGCAAATTTTTACATTATTACTCAATCTATTCGTTTAATCAACAGTTAAACACCCATATAAAACATTTAGAAAAAGAAGTGGTAACTTTGATAGCCACATTTGAGAAAACGCTTTTGTTCAACTTTGACTCTCTTCTCATTTGTATCTTGAAAATACTTTATCTTGCTATCTAATCGTATTCGATGCTTCATGCTGCGTTCAGTAACACAATAATAAATGCATTGACCCATTTCACTTCTAATAAGTCTTTATGTATCATTTCAAACAGGCTAGCAAAGTTCAATCCATTGTCAAACGACATACTCTTTAGTTGTTTCATATATTAGGGTAGTAAAAATTAATCATTTATTTTTGCATAAAGTTGATTGGTTTATTTTTTCTTTTCGTATCCAGCCTTTTTTGTGCAATCTTTCGCTCTTGAGCAATCGAAACTGTAGAACTTGACAATGGCCGTAATGTCGAAAAGCGGATAAAACGATTTGCTTTCCACCTCTGCAAGCATCTTTTACTTCAAAATTACCGGAATAAAAGCGAAATTGTGCATGATTGACTATAACAGTATCAAGAACACAAACGCCCTTATCGAAGAAAGACTGTAAAATAAAGCGTATTTTTCTCTTTGCTAGTGTTCATCTTTGACGCACGCTTAAACAAAACTGAATCGACCAATCGCAAAACTCTCAGAATAAGTTTTTTAGTACGATCGGACTTATACAACTCGAGATACAGACAAATAACGCAATCTATTGGAAAAATAATGGATTTCTCCCAATATATACACCTTCTTAAAGCTCAGCATTCAAAAATACCGTATATGCTTCGATTTTAGAGTATCGATCTCCACTCTTTATATGTTAAGACTATTTTGCTGTGGTCTGCTGCTCTCCATTTCGAAAGTATGCGCTTCTCATTCGTCATATATGACGTTGTGTCTGAATGGACGTACCAAGCTCTGAGAGTTAGAACTCGAGTTTGCTAACATTGCTATCTTATTTTTTCATCTTTGTCATTACATTTTTGGACTGCATAATCTGGCGTTACTCTTAACGCATATGCCTATTACCACAACCAAAACATCACTATCAACCTTCAGCTTTGCAGTTGAGCTCCCCACAGCCTTAACGTGTGCTTAATATTAAGCACCCCAGCGAGCAATAATGAAGCAAAATGTTCGTCACCATCATTAAGACCTTCACTTTGCAGCTTAATTGAACAAGTCATTACTATTTCATTGTTCCACTTTCAACTGCATAAGCTTCTTTAAAAACATACCTAGAGAGTTATACAACTAACTTCTTATCCTGTTAGCCTATAAAAAGCACCTTGACCTGGCCATACTATGCCTGCACAGCTACAATATAGTTTAGAGGCATCCACAAAATGAGTATACTACTGAAATAGAGATGGGTATCAGTCGTCTGTATTCCTTACACAAATAAAGATACGCATAGTTGCCCTAAAGACTTTAGGCATAACAAGTTCGAAGATACGAGAAGGCTGCTACGGCCTTGTGTGAAAGTAAAAGGGCTATAGTCCAGACACTCAGTTGTAAAATCATCGCCCATTTATGAAGCGCCTATATGGAGCTATATATAAATATTCGAATGCTAATGTTTTATGTAAAATTTAAAGATTTGTGTTAAGTTGCATAGTAGTGCACTGAGTATCTAAACGCATTTCTCAATATCTATCCAATGTAATTGGTCGTATATCAAGCGAAAGCCGCACTACGTTTGAGGTAATCAAATCAATGGATCACACTGTTATTGGTAAACTCCAAATGTGGGATAGAACTTTCATTTCATGCTACCCAGACCGTTGCGATCCAATTTCACTAAAAATTGTAAGGACCCTAAAATCTTATATGTAGGAGCCCTTACAAAAACACAAGAATATATATGTATGTACACATCAAAGAATTGAATATTATGAAATGTACATATATACTTACGAGGTGCGCTAAAAAGTGTCGCGGATTTTGAATTTTCGCGGGCTACGTATAATCGAATTTCGATTTTTTTGTGGCGTTATGTTGGTATTCATGTCTGTCACTTATGCCGACAAGCTCCGCCATTTTGAATGTTCACTTAGTTGTTGACAGCTGCTTTGCTTGCACGTGTTTTGGATGGCCTTCGATTTTTACCTATTCAAAAAAATTTATCAAAAAACCTTTATCAAATTTTGTGTGAAAAACGAAATTAAGTGTGCGGATGCATTCCGAATGTTGACTATGGCATATGGAGAAGCTACCTTGAACGACGAAGAGCGTGTCGGGCGCCCGAGCACTTCAACAAGACGAAAGAATTAAAGAAGTGGAGAAAGTGGTATTGCCACTGAGTAGAACGGTCAATAAGGAATATTACCTGTAAGCTATGCGCGATTTGCGCTAAGTAATCCGCCAGAAACGCTCGGATTTGTGGAAGAACAAAAATTGGCTTTTGCACAACAATAACGCCCCTGCTCACACATCGTTGCTTGTGCGCGACTTTTTGGCCAAAAACAACACACTAATGATGCCGCAGCCACCGTATTCCCCAGATCTGGCCCCCTGTGAATTTTTCTTGTTCCCTAAACTGAAGAGGCCCATGAAAGGACGGCGTTACGCTACGATTGACAAGATAAAAAAACGGCATCGAAGGAGGAGCTGAGCAAGATAAAAAAAATTATTTTTTGAAATGCTTCGAAGATTGGAAAAACCGTTGGCTTAAGTGTATAATATCTCGTCGGGATTACTTTGAAGGGGACAAAATAGATATTCATGAATAAATAAATAATTTTAGAAAAAACACAAAATTCGCGATATTTTTTGAACACACTTCGTACATTAATATATATTATATATAAATAAGACAAAATTTTTAAGTTTAAGTGCACAGATAACGTGTAATTATATACATATGTACATACGTACACATTTTATGAATTTCACTTTACGTATTCGCTTTGCTTGCACAAGGAGAAACATGTTCAAACATGAAATCATATGGACATGCATATACATATCCACACATAGCTTTGAGGATAAACACCCTAAACATAATAATTTGTTCTAATTAAATAACATTCTGCCTGCGCGCAGAATTGTAAAAAGGCGAGGAAAATCTAAAGAAAATTAAGTAGCCTTTGTGTTATCGATAGGTATACTTGCCCGTGTGATCAACATCACCGTGAGGGTCTTCACCTCACGAACACTTATTAGGAGTCCACTGAGGGATCTGACCTCACTGAAAGAGGAACTAGTATAAGGTTTTAACCTCCTCAACTCATATGAAGAAAGTAGATACATGTTGTAGAATATATAAGAAATTTTGTATATATATAATAATGAATAATAAATTTGTTGGAGCGAATATAGCGTGTTGTTGTTTTAGGAAACCCTTGGCAAGGTTGAGTTTATCCCAGCCAAGTGGAAAAGTTCGTTGCAAAATTACCTTAATTAGGAAACTTTCCTATGGAACCCTTTTTTAAGTTACCTGACTATTTCAATGTTTTTCAGGCAGCAGCTAGGTAGCAATAAAATCACTGGGCTCGCTTAAATTTTATTCATAAATTACGATATTTACTGGATATGGCCAAGGTACGACTGTCACGCTTTTGGCAAATCAGTGGGGAATATAATCTTTGGAGGTTCGTAAATACGGTTGCTAATGTACGTTAAGACTTTTAAGGAGAATTAAATGACTTAGACAATGTGCAAGTCTTCAGGTTGCTTTGTACCCACACAAGTGCCGTATTTATTGCCCGGGCTTCAGATTGGTAAACACGGCACGTGTTATGCTGTTTTAATTTATGTTTTTCCCAAATTTCATTTGGGTCATGTACAACAAATGCGCAACCACATTTATCAGATTCGAGCTTGCTTCTGTCGGTAAAAGTCTGGGCGACTATTATGCTACAAATACGGTCGATTTCTTCATTTGAAACTACAGTACCCTACTCTATTGTTCGACGTGTCGTGGGAAGGAGCTATGTATGTATTTGATAGCACGCAGTTTTCGACTATATTATTTGTGTTTGGCGATGGGGCGATGTGTTGAGTTTAACTAAAGTTTTTGACTGACATTCACCTAGGAATGGCCAGAAATTATTATTTTGCATATGTTTCTGTTCTGCGTAGCCAACAAACATTCATTTAGAGGCAAGCTGA